TTTAGTGGAAGAAACCAGGTTTATATCCACCTATATTCCTTGGCTTCTTAAAACAATTATATATCTTTAAATGTTCCTAAAATTCTGGTAGTGTGATGCCTCCCACTTTGTTCTTTTTGGTTAGAATTGACTTGGCCATGTGGGCTCTCTTTTGGTTCCATATGAAGTTTAAGGTATTTTTTTCTAGTTCTGTGAAGAAGCTATACTACAAGGCTACAATAATCAAAACGGCATGGTACTGGTACCAAAACAGAGATATAGACCAATGGAACAGAACAGAGGCCTTGGAGGCAACACAACACATCTGAAACCATCTGACCTTTGACAAACCTGACAAAAACAAGCAATGGGAAAAGGATTCTCTGTGTAATAAATGGTGTTGGGAAAACTGGCTAGCCATGTGAAGAAAACAGAAACTGGACCCCTTCCTGACACCTTACACTAAAATTGACTTCAGATGGATTAAAGACTTAAACATAAGACCTAACACCATAAAAACCCTAGAAGAAAATCTAGGTAAAACCATTCAGGACAAAGGCGTAGGCAAGGACTTCATGACCAAAACACCAAAAGCATTGGCAACAAAAGCCAAAATAGACAAATGGGACCTAATCAAACTCCACAGCTTCTGCACGGCAAAAAAAAAAAAAAACAGTTATTAGAGTGAATCAGCGACCAACACAATGGGTAAAAAATTTTGCAGTCTACCCATCTGACAAAGGGCTGATATCCAGAATCTACAAAGAACTAAAACAGATTTACAAGAAAAAAACAAACAAGCCCATTCAAAAATGGGCAAAGGATATGAACAGACAATTTACAAAAGAAGACATACATAAGGCCAACAAACATATGAAAAAATGCTCATCATCACTGGTCATTAGAGAGATGCAAATCAAAACTGCATTGAGATACCATCTCACACCAGTTAGAATGGTGATCATTAAAAAATCTGGAGACAACAGATGCTGGAGAGGATGTGGAGAAATAGGAACACTTTTACACTGTTGGTGGAAGCGTAAATTAGTTCAACCATTGTGGAAGACAGTGTGGCAATTCCTCAAGGCCTTAGACATAGAAATTCCATTTGACCCAGTAATCCCATTACTGGGTATATATCCAAAGGATTATAAATCGTTCTACTATAAGGACACATGAACATGAATGCTCATTGCAGCACTGTTTATAATAGCAAAGACCTGAAACCAACCGAAATACCCATTGATGATAGACTGGACAAGGAAAATGTGGCACATATACACCATGGAATATTATGCAGCCATCAAAAACGATGAGTTCATGTCCTTTGTAGGGACATGGATGAACCTGGAAACCATCATTCTCAGCAAACTAACAGAAGAACAGAAAATCAAACACCACGTGTTCTCACTCATAGGTGGGTGATGAACAATGAGAACACATGGATACAGGGAGGGGAGCATCACACACTGGGGTCTGTCGGGGGGAAATGGGGAGGGACAGTGGGGGGTGGGGAGTTGGGGAGAGATAGCAGGGGGAGAAATGCTAGATATAGGTGATGGGGAGGAAGGCAGCAAATTACACTGCCATGTGTGTGCCTATGCAACAATCTTGAATGTTCTTCACATGCACCCCAAAACCTAAAATGCAAAAAAAATTCCTAAAATTAGCTGCTTGGTTTCATTAATTAAATTAATTATGAAATCAGTCTTGCCTAAGAAAAGTAGAATTCAAGTCCATGGCGCAAAGCAATCTTATAGTTCACCAATAGGTTGAAAAACCATATAGGTTAGTCAGACATACAGAGTGTATTTGTTCTAAAAGATTCAAGGAGAAAAAGTCAAAAACATAAATTTTAAAAGTACATACTCAGCCTTTTTCTACTTAATAGTCATGTAACATAAAATTTACATGAATTTTCTGTTTTCTTTCCTTCCTGTTTTCCTCCCTCCCTCCCTCCCTTTCTGCCTTGCTTTCCCCATCTTCATTTCTCTCATAAAAAGAGACAGTATCTCCTACAAAGCTTTGAGAATGGACAGGATGGAAACTGTAGTACACCATGTGGGAAGCAGGAGGTGCTCAACCAACACTCATCCCATGTTGTCCCTGTGACCTACAGCTGCCAACCATCCTGTTAGAATAATGAATGGCTCCACCTCAGCATTGTAGGAACATTTAATTAACATACACTTGAGTCTACCTTTTAAATAGTTATCTTCTTGAATGGAAGAAAGAAGTGCATTTGATTTATTGTTAATTTTCTGTTACCTGACATGTGATAATCACTTAATAAATGTTTGTTAAAAGAAAAGGTAGGTAATAACACAGGGTTTACCAAGTGCCAGAGGATATTCTAAATACATTGCATTTTAATCCTTTAGTCCTGTCAACAACCCTAGGAGGTAGGCACTATTGCAAGTTCCTACAATGCTGAGGTGGAGCCACTCATGATTCCAACAGGAGCGACGGCAGCTGCAGGTCACAGGAACAGCATGGGATGAGTTGAGCACCTCCTGCTTCCCACATGGTGTACTACAGTTTCTGCAGTACAGAACTGTTCAAGTGACACTCCATGGCCACTCAACAAAGTGGCTGCTAGGGGACTGACTGCAAAATACAGGCTCTCAATGAAATTAAATAGTCTCTTAGTTAAATTATTTGATTTTTAACAAAGCTCTTTAAAAATTAAATATAGAACTAAGGCTCTTTCTTATAACATTTTTACTTCTTCATTAAACCCTAGAAAAAGATGTGAACATCATGCCATGTTTTTACATAGGTTAGCTTCACTGCTTAATTAGATAAAAACAATTCCAATTAAAGCATCTCACTTTCATCTTTGCAGCTCCTGCATGTTGGTGTGTTGGTGCGTGTTAGACTGCCGCTCAGCAAAAGGCAAGAGTCTGCCTCCACTCTGAGTATTCTGGAAAATGTAAGTAATTGGATCAGACTTTCATATCACTGACTCCTAGATGATTAGAATCTCAGTTTTCTGCAGCGTCTATCAGACGTTAGGCTCCCCGTATCTCCCATCAGTACTCACTGAGTCGTGAGGGTTTGGAGATGATTTATTACATGTGACACAGGTTTCTGTTTATGCACTCGTAAAGGCCACGTCTGCAAGATCTATAGAGCCAGCTTGCACCAGTACACTGAGCTGAGATGAATAAATGAATAATTGTTTTGATAATATTAACCAAGCATGTGTGATGCCTCTTTGCGACATCTGTTATTAACAACATAAACAAAAGGAGTCTTCACTGGTTGTATGTTGCTTTCAGGAACAATGTAGCATGCCCAATTCAGTAAGCCTTTGTTGGTATTAATCAGAATAAGTCTTTTTCTGAATATCTCAGGATCAAGTGGAATGCCAGTGCACTTAAGATATGGCTAGATAAAAATAAGTTGGTGATTTTATTTAAAATACCAAACAGCTCTCTTCCCCGTTTAGATTTTAATTTCGTGTATCGAAGAGCAAGGTAAGAAAATCAGTGAATGTTTTAACAAACACAGGAGGTTATTATCATTGGCTTCATCCCACTTTCTACAGAGCCAGACTCTGATGTATTGCTTGAAGTCTCCAACAACCTACCAGACAAGTGCCTGATGAGCCTTTCACTGGTCACATCTAGTCATAAGTGACTCACTACACTGCAAGGCAACTTTGCAGCTTTGGCAGTAAGATAGTCCTTCTGGAAGCAGGATATTCCGAAATCTTTTTTTTTTTTTTTTTTTTTTTTTTTTTTTTTTTTTTTTTTTTTTTGAGACGGAGTTTCACCCTTGTTACCCAGGCTAGAGTGCAATGGCGCGATCTCGGCTCACCGCAACCTCCGCCTCCTGGGGTCAGGCAATTCTCCTGCCTCAGCGTCCCGAGTAGCTGGGATTACAGGCACGTGCCACCGTGCCTAGCTAATTTTTTTGTATTTTTAGGAGAGACGGGGTTTCACCATGTTGACCAGGTCTCGATCTGTTGATCTCGTGATCCACCCGCCTTGGCCTCCCAAAGTGCTGGGATTACAGGCTCGAGCCACCGCGCCTGGCCTAGGATATTCTGAAATCTTAAACAGCTTCCCTCTATACAGAAAACTGTCCCGTTCCGAAAGCTGCCAGGCTTGCCTGGCTTATTCTAAATGAAAAAGTGTGACTCAGCATAATTTGTGGAAAGGGGAATAACACTCAACATTATCTTTCAAAAATATAGGGTACGATGTGAGAAAGAAAAAAAGCGGAGGAAATGCTTGCTGAGGAGAACACCATTTTTTTAATATTCTTACTCCATTCTATTTCCAGGCTGAGGGTGCACATTCAAGGAAATCAAGAGGAGGCCGAGTGTCATCTTTCCAGGACTGGCAATCGGCCTGCCTTAGGTACAGAGAGCTGTCCTGGAAAGCTCCCCACTGGAATGAGAGTGGACATAGAACAAGCGGTGTCCCCTGTGGGCTGGTGACCACATAGTCAATAGAGTTGGGACATTAAAACTGGTCAGTGTGGCTAGGTAGTGGCACTGAAGGCCTGACAACCCTATCCATATATGATCATCTTGGAAACAGGAAAATTCTGCACCAAATGTGTACACATCTCCTAAAAGGTGATGACGCGGAGTAGCCTGAGAATGCATTTCCACCACTGAACGTGGGCGGGGGGGATGCTGAAATAAAATTAAATTACATTATCAGAACAAAGGAAGACGGCATCTTTGCATGTCTAAGAGTATAGACTACCGTTTATTCCAATACTCATTTAGAAAGCAAAATCTATTTCTCTATAGCTTTTGCCTTTTTCTATCTATTAAGACCAAAGCAAATTTTTATTTTGTGTGCTTTTATTTTTATTTTCAAAGTAAAATTTTTCTTTTGTATGTTTTCTCTTGGGTAACTAAGGGAAGAGATTGCTAGGTACTAAATGTTTACACATTCCTCCCCCAATTCATATATTGAAACCCTAATCACCAAGGTGATGGATTAGGAGGTGGAGCCACTGGGAGGTGATTAGGTCATAAAGGTGGAATTCCCACGGGTGGGATTAGTGCCCCCATAAAAGGACACATGAGAACTTGCTTTTTCCTTCTCCCTTCTCCATGTGTGGACACAGGCGAGAAGACGAACCTCTGCAATTCAGGTAGCAACTCCCCCTTGATCCTGGGCTCACAGCCTCCAGAGACATGGGAAATAAATGTTTGCTGTTTAAGCCACCAGTTTATGGTAATTTGTTATAGCACCTCAAATTAACTAATTTGGTTTGCCTTTGTGTCTCCACCTTAATCTCATCTTGAATTATAATTCCATAATCTCCACATGTCACGAGAAGGAACCTGGTGGAAGGTCATTAAATAATGGGGATAGTTCCCCTCACCCCATGCTGTTCTGGTAACAGTGAGTTCTCATGAGATCCAAAGGTTTTACAACAGCCTTCCCCCTTTGCTCAGCACTTCTTTCCCCTGCCACCAAGTGAAGAAGGATGTGTTTGCTTCCCCTCTCGTGAAATCATGACTGTACGTTTCCTGAGGCCTCCCAGCCATGTGAAACTGTGAGGCAATTAAACCTCTTTTCTTTATAAGTTACTCAGTATTGGTTATTTCTTCATAGCAGCATTAAAATGAACTAATACACTGACTAAGATAGAAATAGTGTATGTTTATTTTCTAGAGTGCAATCCCAATTCTATCATATTGGAGCTGGCATATCCGTAATCTACTGGTCTAGGTACACTATAATTTGTACACATTTTCCATAAGATGTACAACACATTATTATTATCTGCAGTTCAAAAAATGGTCCAAGCTATTAGTGTTCTTCCAGCAGTTTGATGAATGCAGCCTGCAGCAGCAGCTGTTCTGACATGAATAATACTTTTAAAGATAATATAAAATAATCAAGTAGGTATAAAACATTATTTAAACACTATGTGCACAGCTTATTCTTGACATTATTGATGCCTTAGTCTATTTAGTGTTTCTCTAATAATACCACAGACTGAACAATTTACAATTAACAGAAATTTATTTCATTAATGATTCTGGTGGCTGGGAAGTTTAAGAGTGTGGCACCGGGCCAGGCGCGGTGGCTCAAGCCTGTAATCCCAGCACTTTGGGAGGCCAAGGCGTATCACAAGGTCAAGAGATCAAGGACATCCTGGTCAACATAGTGAAACCCCGTCCCTACTAAAAATACAATAGCTGGGCATGGTGGCACGTGCCTGTAATCCCAGCTACTCAGGAGGCTGAGGCAGGAGAATTGCCTGAACCCAGGAGGCGGAGGTTGCGGTGAGCCGAGATCACACCATTGCACTCCAGCCTTCATAACAAGAGCGAAACTCGATCTCAAAAAAAAAAAAAAAGAGTGTGGCACCAGTACTTGATGATGGCCTTTGTGTTGCATTAGCCCATGGCAAAAAGAGGAAAAGCAAGAGAGGGTGTGTGTCTGTATGTGTGTGTGTGAGAGAGAGAGGGAAAGAAGAAGAAAGAGGAAGACAAGGACAGAGACAGAGAAAGGCTGAATGCACCCTTCTATCAGGAATCAATTCCCTTGATAACTAACCTGCTTTCGTAATAATGACATTAACCCATGCATAAGGGCAGAGCCCTGATGACATAATCATCCCTTAAAGGATCCCCCTCTCAATACTGTTGCATTGGGGATTAAGTTTTCAATGTATGAACTGTGGAAGAGACATTCGAACCATAGCAATAGGGGAAGCAAACAGGTCTAGATAAGGTTCTGTCTTAGAGATTTTATTGCACAAATTTTATTAATCGATGAAGTTATGCATGAAGCTTTTCTAAATGGTGATTTTTTATTTTACTTTTTTGTTTTCCAAATATCTGATAAGAATAGGTTTCTGTAACAAAGACTTCCATAGCTTAAAGAATAGAAAACGTAGAAAAGTTACTTGTCTCATACATAGCAGTCTTACCACTAACAGAGCCAGGTGTTAAGGCAGTTTTATTTCTTAGGCACTTCATGGAACTAGATTCTTTCCTAACCATTGCTCATTTGTCTTCCTCCCTACTGCCACCACACTCATGGGGCAGCACGCCAGACCCCTTATTGGGTAAATAAAGTTTTATGAGAACACTCTCTTCATCATGTAATGTCTATGACTGCTTTTATGTACCAATGGCAGAAGTAAGTACTAATGTAGAAGCCTTATTGTCCACAAAGCCTAAAACATTTATTTTATGTTGTATTTTATTTTTTATTTTTTTGAGACAGATCTCACTCTGTCATACAATGGTATAATCACAGTTCACTGTAGCTTCCGCCTCCCAGGCTCTGGTGATCCTCCCACCTCAGACTCCTGAGTAGCTAAGACTATAGGTGTATGTTACCATGCCAGGCATGGCAACATACATATATGTGTGTGTGTGTGTGTGTGTGTGTTTATTTTTTGTAGAGATCAGTGTATTAGTCCATTTTCAGGCTGCTAATCAAGACATACCTGAGACTGGAAAGAAATGAGATTTAATCAGACTTAACAGTTCCACATGGCTGGGGAGGCCTCAGAATCATGACGGGAGGTAAAAGGCACTTCTTACATGGTAGTGGCAAGAGAAAAATGAGGAAAAAGCAAAAGCAGAAACTCCTGATAAACCCATCAGATCTCATGAGACCTTTTCACTATCACAAGAATAGCATTGGAAAGACCAGCCTCCATGACTAAATTACCTCCCCCTGGGTCCCTCCCACAACATGTGGAAATTTTGGGAGATACAATTGAAGTTGAGATTTGGGTGGGGACACTGCCAAACCCTGTCAGCTGGGTTTCTCTATATGGCCCACACTGCTTGAACACCTGGACTCAAGTTATCTGTTCACTTCAGCCTCCCAAAATCCTAAAATTACAAATGTGAGCCACCACACACAGACTCAAACATTTATTATCTCTGACTTTTTACGGAAAAGATATGCTGAATTCTGCCCTAGGATACTGTCATGGTCTGCATGGTTGAACCTGGGTTAGCACTACATCTGGACTCACCACTCCATCTGGTAAAAGGAACATGGAAAAGGCACTCTCATTGGTGCCAGGCCTAGAAACAACACATGCCACTTCTGCTTCTTTTAACCAGGAGGAAACTTTAGTCATTGGCAATGCAACACCAAGGGAGCCTGTGAAATGCAATTGAGCTAACAGTTCCACTCAGGCTATAATAAGCCTGTATTATGAAAGAGGAGGAAGGAGCTTCACTGGATGATCAGCAGTCTTTCCCATATTTAATAGAAAAGAAGTGAGTGTGTTTCTACTTTAGTGCACAAACACTTTGTCTTTTTGGACAGACTAAATTGTATTAGTCCAATTGTCCCTTTTCATTTAATGTCTGTATTTATTTTAAAGAAAAATTCATCCATATGTTTCTGCATCATTTATACCTCTCATCAAAATGTAGTTTCTCAACAGTTATTGGGCATTCAAAATGTCTAGTAGAAAATGAATCAAAAATTTTGTTTTGTAATATGAAACTGGGAAGTATATGTGGCATCTTAACTCAGCAGTTCAACATGTACCTGGCTATTTCCCTAAAAAAAGGGTTCGGAGGCCAAGGCGGGTGGATCACGAGGTCAAGAGATCGAGACCATCCTGGTCAATATGGTGAAACCCCGTCTCTACTAAAAATACAAGAAATTAGCTGGGCATGGTGGTGCACGCCTGTAATCCCAGCTACTTGGGAGGCTGAGGCAGGAGAATTGCCTGAACCCAGGAGGCAGAGGTTGCAGTGAGCCAAGATTGCACCATTGCACTCCAGCCTGGGTAACAGAAGCAAAACTCCATCTCAAAAAAAAAAAAAAAAAAAAAAGAGAGAAAAGAAAGGGTTCACGCAAATACTGAACAGAGCTGATTGCAAAGAAGACCTTCTTCTACTCTCATCTGAAGAATCAGATTAGATAAATTCATTGTCAGGTAATAGCAATAGAAACAAAGAAATAGTGGATATGCAATGACCCTAACATTGTATAAAAGATCTCAATTTATAGAATGCTTCCAAATTCATGATCTCATTTGGATAGCATTAGACTCTGTAAGGGAACTATTATTGAGTAATCTAATGTGCTCTGACTTATTGATATTTCCTGTTCCATTGATAACCCTATCCTATTAGTATGTCCTGTCCTGCTGGTTATTTCCCATTCTATCGGCATCTTGGTCCTACCTATTAGTGTTTCCTGTTCTCTTGGCATCTCCTGTCCTGTTAGCATTTCCTGTTTTATAATAGTAGCATCACCTGTCCTGTTAGAATTGTTGGTCCCATTAGCACTCCCTGTCCTACTAGTATCCCCTGTTTTATTGGTGTTTTCTTTTCTATTAATTCCCCTATCCTTTTAGTATTTCCTGTCCTGTTGACATTCTCTGTCATGTCAATATTTCCTCTTCTATTGGCATCCTCTGTGTATTTTTTTATTCTTGCATTGCTATTAAGAAATACTCAAGACTGGGTAATTTATTAAGATAAGAGGTTTAATTTTCTCACAGTGTGCAGGCTGTACAGGAAGCACAGCAGCATTTGCTTCCAAGGAGGGTTCAGGAAGGTTACAGTCATGGTAGAAGGTGAACATGGAACAGGCACATCACACAGTGAAAGCAGGAGCAAGAGAGTGGGGGTGGGAGAGGTGCCACACACTTTTAAATGACCAGGTCTCAGGAGAACTCACTCAATTTCATGAGGACAGTACCAAGGGGTATAGTATAAACCATTCATGAGAAATCTGCCCCAGGTCCAATCACCTCCCACCAGACCCCACCTCCGGCATTGGGGATTATATTTCAGTATGAGATCCTGTTCTATTAGTAGCTTCTGTTCTGCTAGCATCCTCTGTCCTATTAGTATTTCTGTTCCATTGGCATCCCCTGTTCTATTTGTATTTCCTGTTTTATATTAGCATCCCCCAGCACCTTATTTTCTATTAATGAAAGTTCAGGAATCTACAGCTTAGCCCATCACTAGCTCCTAGTAATTTCAATACTGAGAAGGTGACAATCAGAAGGCAATCTCTGGAGGTCACGCCTGTTGATTTAGCAGGGCAGAGGTCACACATCTTCTTCTACTTTCTGTTCCTAGTCTGAAAACTCCCTGGAAACTTGTCTTTCTTCAGAGCCTGGTCCTCCAGCCACACAGTGAAACTGTGTTCCCTCCAATATGCTTCCAATAAATTCTCTTTTCATTTACATTAGTGTTTGTAACTAAGAAACTGAATTGAAACAAGCTGATTTTAATATACCCATTATAGATAAAGAAACTGAGATTCAGAAAGATTCCTGCTCACTGTCACACTAGTATAGTAAGCTAGTCTTCTAGTAAGCTATAAAACTGACCGGAATTCATGGTTTTCCTGTTTACTTTCTTCTAGTAAGATATAGAACTGACCAGAATCTGTGGTTTTCCTTCTGTATCCAGGGACGTTTTACCCTTTAATGAATAATTATGTAAACTCTCCTGTCTCCTGCAAAGCTAAAGGAACATGTCTAGAATAACCTGAGGCCCTCTTTATTTGAGAAGGCCCAATTTCAGTGCCTTCTCTTTTCTGAGGCCTTTGCCAAATAGGCCACAGCTAGTGGCTCCCTGATGTCTGTTTTCATAACAATTTCTCATATATATATGTGTGTGTGTGTGTGTGTATATGTATATATAAAATTACATATATAACATTATATATATATATAAACATACTTTCCCCTATATGTTTATCATAAGAATCACATACATCTTAATGGGATATACAATTTTTAATATAGCTCATTGAAATATAAACTTCTCTGGAGGAGAAACTCATTTCTTACTATCCTGTCTTCTATATCACAGGTACTCAATTATGTTTGTTGGGTAAATAAGTGAGTAAATGAGCAAAAACATGTGGAAGAATAAAATGTCAGAAAACTCAGAGATTTTCTGAAGCATAATGGTTTTAGATAAACATATTCACAACCTGGCATCAGCCTCTCATCAAGAGCCAGAAATTCTGCTACAGCAACCATAACCCGAGAAAGCTAATGTTTCCATTTCCATGGGAGTCTAAGGTTTTGTCAGTAACTGTTCTGCTCAGAGGTTACAGATGAAGAAATATGAAGTCTGTAAAGGAGGTGTCCCAGCCTTCTCCTACAGCTAAAAATGCTGTGAGGTTTAACTTCCCAGAATTTTTTCTTCTATGAGTCTCCTAGGGGGTTCTGATATATGGAATACTCTCTGAGACTGAACTCATCTCCAGAAGTCCCTATTAATATGAAAATCTCTTTCTTGGCAGGAACACCGATGCATTCATGCAGCAATGGCAGCCTTGGGTCACCAAATAGAGACTGAGGAGCTGCAGGAGAGAGCAAGATGTGCTGCTATGTGCATGAGGCCCACCCACAAAGACAACAACAGGGTGCTAGAGCAATGGGCAGGGGGGATGTGGATGAAGACAAGCATAAGGAAGAGCAGAGGTGTGAGGGAGGGGCACAAACAGAGTAGGACACATAGAAGAGAGCACAAGGGATGCTGCAGGTGATGAGATTCTGGAGATTTTTGCTCAGCAGAGGTATAATAGGTTTGCCTGGCTTTTCTAAAGTAGTTCCCAGAGGTGTGTGCCCTAGAAATCAATTCAAAAATGAACTCTTCTCAGGTGCCAACCTGAATCCATGAGGGAGAGAATTTATTTTTAAAGGTAGTTTAGAGTCCACATGGAAGACAAAAAAACTTTACAAGCTTATGAGATATAGTAAAACACACAGAATATTAATCTTCTTCTACAGCACAGCTATTCAAGAAAAGCTATAGGAATCATCAGCTAGTCATGAAGTCATGAGTGTCCATTCTTATCCCCTCTACTCTGCCAGTGTATATATACAAAGCTGTGCCATACAATCAGCAGTGCTGTAGGTGACACTCCCATGATCATACTTTAGATGAGACCCAGTTACATTTTTTAAGACTCTGCCTTGCTTGTAGGGCTCATTCTAGAGACCCTTTGACAATCTTGATGATATAATAACCATGTTATAGAATCTCATATGGAAAAAAATTGTGAAAATCTTCTAGGAACTTCAGGCAGCCTCTAGATATGGAAGTGACTTCTGATCGACACCTAACAGAAACAAAAACAAGAATGAAGCTCTGTACCCTACAACCATAAGGAAATAAGGTCATAAACAACCATGTGACCCATGAAGACCCTTCCTCAGCTGAGCCTCCAGATGAGAACTCAGCCCTGGTCAACTCCTTGATTGCAGCTTATGAGACTCAAAGCAGAGGACACAGTTAAGCCATGTATTGTTTTGAACCACTCACCTGTGATCATTTGTTATATAGCATCAGAACACCAATACAATATGAAACTGGAAGACTGTCTGATATAAAATATTTATGATCCTGTGTCTCAAAAGTAAGAAAGGGGATGTGGTGAAATACAGAAGAAAGCATATTTCTACACTTGGGGAAAGACAGACAGGGATTTAAATTAAAATCCCTTCTCTCACTAGCCGTGTGATCTTGTGCAAGTCACTTAATTTCTCCGCACCTCACATTCTACTTCTGTGACATTAAAATTATGTGTTCTACTGACCTATTGAATTGATATAAAACAATACATAGGTAGAGGAAGAAAATTTAGTAGTGCTGATTGTTAGATCCAATGAATTATTTATTACAAAATAGAAACAAGTATTTATGGAACACTTACTATGGTCCAGTGTACTAAAGAGATATACAGAGATACAAAGATGCCTTATCTCTGTATCTGAGTATACAGAGATACGGTATCTCTGTGGTATCTATGTGTGTGTGTTGTGTGTGTGTATAGAGAGAGATACCATATCTCTATATACTCGATCTTTATAATAACTCTAAGAGGTAGATACTATTATCACAGTTTACACATGGAGAACCCAAAGCACAGAAAAATTAAATGACATATTCAATCCCATAGCTGGAATTTGAACCAGGACAATCTCCACTGGGGATAAGCTTGGATGTGGCGGAGGTACTCATGACACAGAATGATCAGAGATGACACTGGAGGCAGAAACTGTCAGACCCTGGCAAGCTGTGCAGGCCACTCATAGAAGCTTAGACTTCTTCCAACCTGGAAGCAGGAAAAATAAGAAATGATTCCCCAGCAACCTGTCTGTAAAGCTGTATGTCTAAGAATAGATGAGGCTTTATAAAACCATTGTTATACATGGAGGTTTGGCTAACAGGAGATTCCACTCATACTCTGGTTTAGTCAGGCTTTCAGGAGACAATCTAAGAATCTATCAGCCATCTACAAAAGCACTCGGTGTAGAAACAGTGTTGGCATCCAAAACAGCTTACAGCTGAGCTTTGAACATTTGAACATTTTGAGAAGTGTGTCTGTTCTTATGTGTGTTTGTGTAACTGCAAGAGTTCCTTTCATCAAACTTTTATACATGAAACCAGCAAGGCCATCCGGTTGGAGCCCAAGTAGTAACCAGGTCACTGAAGCTAAAAGAGGCTTCCTGTGCTTGCGTTTCATGAAGGCAGAGGAAGAAAACAATCCCTCACTCCTCCTCAGGGCCCTCTGTGCTGGGGACAGCTGGAGGCATGATTGATCGGCAAGTTTTCAACATAGCAGGAGACACGTGGAAGAACTGTGAGATATCTGAGAAGCTCTAAAGACCAGAAGCATATATTTGGCAATATATAACATTTTTAGAGAAACAAAATGTGTGTCACTTGCCCTAGTAAAAAATAATAAACCATTAAGATTTTAGGACTTTTCAGGGTGCGCTAGAGATGTCAAAGACCAGGAAGTGCATTCGGATCTTCACACACGCTAGGGTAGAATCAATTGTGTGGATTGCTGCTGAGATTGCCAAGCGGCACTAAGCACAGCATTGCAGGTGAGCCTGATAAATCCTGTTAAGTTCTCAATGCAGCTACTGCCCACCTGTTATGTCGGGTGATTTTTCACAGGCTGGAGATATATATTAGGATGCAAGGTGTTCAATTTGGGCCAACTGTGTTCATAACCAGACAGACAGCACTGTGATGAATGCTCCCAGAAGGAAACCAAAGAAGCTACTGTGATGGAGGACGGAGAACACAAAGCACTGTGCAGAAAATATAGGAAAAGGGAGGCTTAACCCAAGGACGCTCACTTAGTGATTGGTGGGTTTTACCAAGGAAATGCTCTGTAATTTTTCTGGTGAATGTTCTACTGAAGTACATGATCCCTTAAGAAAGTTCAGGAGGTCTGTCTGGCTCTGCGAGGGGATCCTAAGGACACCTATTTTTCCTGATTTCTCTTTGTTTCCCAGATTCTTGTGGAGGAGTAGAAAAAGTATGACCCATTGCCAGTTTTTGTATGGACTGTGAGCTAAGCAGTCTTACGTTTTTAAATAGTTGACAAAAAAATCAAAAGATCGATATTTATTATGTATGACATTTTATAAAATCCAAACTTCAGTGTCCTTAAGTAAAGTTTTATTGTTCAACTCAGCACCATTGACATTTTGGGTTGCATGATTCTTTCCTGTGGGGAAGGAGGGCTCTGTGCACTGATGTTAAGCCACATCCTTGGTGTCTACCCAATAGGGGCCAGAGCACCCCTTCTCCCTTCCTGACAATCAGAGCCGTCTGTATATATTGCCATAAGTGCCCTGGAAGGCAAAATCACTCCCTGGTGAGAAGTGCCTTTGTGTTAAAACACAGCCATGTTTGTTCATTTCACTATTGTCTGTTATTTGTGCAAAAGCAGTGAAGTTTAGAAGTTGTAACAGAGACTGTCTGCTTCTTCATGTCAAAAATATTTACTCTCTGCCTCTTTACAGATAATGTCTCCGACTTCTGGTCTAGCACATGGAAGGAACTCAGTGTTTGAAAAAGGAAGAAGGGAGGGGAGGTAGAGACATAGAGTAGGTTGGTGTCTGGGGAAAAATGAGTTGTTGTTGTTTTTCTGAGACAAACACCAATGCACAGATGTCAGGTGGCAGGCCAGCTTTTTCCTGAGAACATCATGATCACAAGTTTATTTCTAAAGCTCTAAAGCAACACTATCTGAGTCTCTAAGATCAGCCTCTTCTACTTAAACTCCAGAAAGCTACCATTCATCATAGAAATTATAGGTCAACTAAAAGCAATAAAACAGGAGAAAGCATAAGTACTAACACTTATAAGTCCTGGGGATCTTTTTGAATAGATTAGCAACATGTCGTGGTTCATCAAATTCCAAGTTAACAGATTAAAAACGTTGTGAAATCTATGGATGTGAAAGGGGTTGATATTCATTGGCCATTCAGCATGTGCCAGGCACTCAGAGAGAAGCTATACATATATGAAGCCAGAGAGTTCTTTGAGGATGGAATTACCTCCTCATGTTTGACACAAAGAAATGTGGATCTTAAACACAAAGGAGCTGTCCAAGGTCTTACGGAAGCAGGAGCAGAGCTGGGGACTCTGATATGGATCCAGCCAAGACCTTTACTTCCACCCTGCCACGCTGCATTTACTGAATTATATGCCATAAAACTGGATTAGCCACATCTGCAAAGGCGAGAAATCTGTCTCTGGGGTGAGTTGATATGTCTAGAAATTCTGAGCATGAAAGGAACAGAGTCAGAATCAGGTTCATTAAGTCCCACGGTGCAAATCTACAGAGCAGCCAGGGCCCAGCTCCCCCAGGTTCCTGGGAGTGTGAACCAACACCCCCTGGGATTACCTGGCCTGCCTAATATTTTGGTAAAGTATTGACGCTTCCTAGGCATGCTGAGCTGCTCTAGGAAGGCACCCTCAGACAATCCGAGGGAGGAAATGGACTGAAAAGTCATGTCTGTAGAAGCAGGCAGTATAAAGAGAGATTTATCACTTGTTCTGATAAATTGACAGTGAAATTAAAAAGCTTAATTGTTTCAGCATGAATTTTGAGAGGCTTCTTTTCCCACTGAACATATGAAAAAGTTTCAAAGCATTTTGCAGCAATAAAACATCTGTGACCCAATTTACATAAAACAGAATAAAACTGAGAGTTGTCCTGGTAGCAAAGAGCACCAAGGCAGTGTGAACCCTTGTTCCATCTTTCATCAATAAACAGACACTTGTGCATACAGTAGGCAGTCAGAAATGTCCTTAAAAATCTCAAGTGCGTGGGGAGATGGGGAGGGAAGTTCTGTAGGACCCAAAACACCACTGAGAAGAATGAATAAAGGTATATGGCAGGTCAAAGGCCAATGGAAGAGGTGTACTGAGAGTTCACTAATGGAAAGATAATGGCCTCCAGGAGGCTGGTGGGAGGATAAAACAGAATACACACATTTTAACAACAAAAACATTTGAAAAAAATATGGCACAAATACATTCTCTGAAAGTGTTGAATTATAATAATTCCAAGAAATTTCTTTCATTCCATTTTGTATGTTGCTAATGGAGAAAAGTGACAGGCAGAGTCTGAAGCATTTTGGGTTTTTTTTTTATAAAGGTCTTGGCTATGTCTGGAGCTTTAATCACAATGGATTGGGCAGTGCTTAAAAAAAGTATCTTTTGAAGAAAACTCAGATCTGATCTGATATACTCAATTCATATTCACGATTCTTGAGTGATTTGAAGGAGATTATTTTAAACTGATATAAAACTTGACAAAAATCTGTTCTAAAGGATGTATAGAATATTGACATATGGTAATTTACTAATTAGAGAAAAAATAGGCAACACTTGCTTCTGTAAGATGTGAAACTTAAATTGTGTAAAGAATTAACTGGATTGAGTCAAGGGTAAAAATTCTTGGACTTTGTGTCTTTCTCATTCTCTCAGTTTGAAAGTCCCATTCTCTGAGGGATTTTTTGGCTAATGCATGGTCTTAATAAACAGAAGATTAGTTTTAAAACATAATTGCTTGTGGACACATTTTAAATTAGCATTTTTTTATCTTAAAAATTAACTCATTATACACTAAAGCAGTGGTTCTCACAGAGAGGCAGCATTTCTAGGCTGGAAGAATTGGGAAGAATAATGTCTTAGGGACTTTTCAAAATACAGAATGACTACCTACCACCACTCACCCCAAACCCAGGAAAAAAATTCAAATATACATCTCCAAAGTGACGTTAAATGCCAGCAACCCACAAATCACATTTTCATTAGAAACCAGGGACTTATTGATGACTTGCTGCTACTGGTGAGAATTAGTCATTTTCCCCAAGCAGGTTTGGAGCATGAGTGTTAGCTGATTCAACACTATCCGTGGCAAGGACTGGATCCCACCATCAGCTCAAGTGAATGGTAGACAATAGAGCTTTGCATTTGGCTGGAATTTTCCCCTGAGGTACCACGGGAATGATATTAAACCCACTGCCACTTAAAACCTTCACAAAGCTGGGTAGGAAGAAGTGATATTAATGGGAGGACTTGAAGAATGAGTGGTCAGTCTCATTTTGCCTCTGGAGGAAGTCTGCCAGCATAGAAATCTAGGTTGTTGACAGGGGTGA